TGCATATTCGGCGTTATATTTTATTCCACTTCTCGAAAATGTTTTTTATGATACCTCACGATCCTTGAGCAAGCAAAGAAGCCAGCATGTGCATATTTTCCGGCGTCCAAATACCAGTCTCTCCTTGAAGCGCTGCATAAATGGGGTTGCAATTTATAATCGGTGTTGAAATGGTGTTTTTATGATGAAAGTGACATGTCTCTCTTTACCATTCTGTCTGTCCAAACTTTGAACCACAAACATACATATGTTTCCAGCGTTGTGCATATTAGACTTGTCACTGTGACTGGATGTATTTACAAAACCAACCAACTAGATTGAGCTCAACTAAACATGAATAATCGTATCGTATCGTACTCCTGGGTATTTATCAACACACAACACATACTAATAGCATCCCCACAACAACCTCACATCATATATATATATATCCCCATCACAATCATACACCCCCCTCACTCACCCCCACCACAATCCCCATCCCATCCCAGCCACAAGAAAGATCGATTATAGAGTAGCCCTCTCCTCCTCCGTCCAAAACCTGACCAAACTCTCCCACGCCGCCACATCCCCATCCCTCAACAACGCCGCGACATCAACATTAAGCGGCGAATCCGGCCTCGGATCCGTCAACAGCTGATGAATCGCACTCAACGTACTGCTCAACGTATACACCGGACTCCAATGCTCGGTAGTCAACAACGTCAAACAAATCTCTCCCGTTGTGAAGCTGATATTCGGATGGCTGATCTTCGTCTTGAAGGTGATTTTCGGCGGCGTGAGGGGGTAGGTTGGTGGGATTTGGATGGAGAGAGTCCATAGACCATCTATTTATTTCCCCCCGAGAGGCGGGGGGAAGAAGAAGTTAGTGGGGGCGAATGAATGGTATGTATGTATGTATGTGGGGAGGAAGGGGGGTGGTATACTCTCGTAAGGCGTCCCCGGGACACCCTTCAGCACTGCTTCCCAGTGGAGGAGGTCATCTTCGTCGACGGGGCCGAGGTGTAGAAGGGCTTCGTTGGGAGAGTTGGTGTAGTCTTTTAATTCGCGGAGGAGACGGTGGGTTGTTTGCGAGGAGGCCATATTTCTTTTTTTCTTTTTCCCTTTGGGAGGTAATAAGGTTGTGTGTGTTTGTGTGGAGATGGGGTATGTGGGAGGAGGGGTGAATTGATAGGAACAATTGTTGGATGAATATGAATGGAGATAGGATGCAAGCAGATAAGGCGGATGCGATGAGTCGCGGTGGCTGGTGGTGTGTGTCGCGCCGAGGCTCAATGAACTGCCGTGGGTCTCGGCCACTGGTTGATTGATTGATTGGTTTCCCGGTCGGTCTCGGCTCCCGAATTCCCCATGTGTAATCCGCCATCACTGAGTCGCCCCTTGTTGGAAAACCAAAGCCTAATTTCTTGTTGATCTGTGGGGGTTACACGGTTGCTACTGGTTTTTTTCATGTGAAGACTTTTCTAACTCGGCACGGAGTTCAATTTATTGAAGCTAGAGATAGTATCATCATGCGCACTTCTCGAGCTTCTAAAGAGACTGCGAAGGTTCTGCAGGCTTTGTCGCCTCCTGCTCGTCGACAAACTCGCAGTTCGGCTCAGGCTGCTAGTCTCCTTCAGGGCTTTGCTTTTGGGGGTGGTACTGCCCCGGATGCATCTATCAGTGATGATGATACTTCTTCGCTCTCGTCGGTGCCGACGGTTGATATCGAGGATATCGTAGAGCTGCCGGCCAAGCGTCGCAAGAGTGCTTTGAGCAGTTCTGTCACGAGGACGAGTGCGCGCTCTACTCGGAGGGCTGTCAAAGCAGAGACCCCTGTCAAAGAGGAAGCACCTGTCAAGGAAGAGCCGGTTGAGAAGCCGCAAAAGGCACGACGGATGCCCGCGCGCAAGATCAAAATCGAGAATGGTGGTTATTCCATGGAGCCGCCGTCTAACTGGGAGACTATGTATGACATGGTCAAGAAGATGCGAGAGGCAAATCCCACTGCACCCGTTGACACCATGGGCTGTGCCGAACTCTACTGGCGTGCATCCTCTCCGCGCGATCGCCGTTTCCAGACTCTCATCGCGCTAATGCTATCATCCCAGACCAAGGACACAGTCACGGCGGTGGCCATGCAGCGGTTGCACACGGAGCTTGGAGACCAGTCGACAACCATTGTGAAGAAGGAGCCCGAAGATTATGACTGGAAGCCCACGGACCAGGTCAAGGACAGCACTTTGAACCTGGAGAACATCCTAGCCGTCACCCCTGAGCGCCTGAACGAACTTATTGCCAAGGTGGGCTTCCACAACAACAAGACCAAGTATATCAAGGCCGCGGCCATCATCCTCCGCGATCAATATGACTCCGATATCCCGTCGACTGCTCCTGAACTGATGAAGCTCCCGGGCGTCGGTCCGAAGATGGCGTTTCTCTGTATGAGCGCGGCGTGGGGCAAGCACGAAGGCATTGGCGTTGATGTTCACGTTCACCGGATTACCAACCTCTGGGGCTGGCACAAGACGAAGAATCCCGAGGAAACTCGCATGGCGCTGGAGTCGTGGCTACCAAAAGACAAGTGGCACGAGATCAACAAACTCTTGGTCGGCTTAGGACAGACGGTCTGCTTACCTGTAGCCCGGAGATGCGGAGAATGCGATCTTGCAGGAACGAAGCTCTGTAAGAGCGAAATCAAGGGTCTGGTAACACTGAAGCGAGACGCTGCTGTGAAGCAGGAGGAGCCGAAGGTGAAGGTCGAGCAGGAGTAGATGTTGAACCCACTCAGTCATGGGATTGAATGCCCCAGGCCAACCTTCAGTCACTTTCAGTGTTTTGTTTCGATTGATTGCGGGGGAAACACAACCGCTCTGTTTTGCCAGTCCAGCTTTCTTCCTCTGTTGACTGTGTCTTCTGCTCTCGTTGATCAGACATTTCTCCCGTCAATGCATCAAGTTGTATCTCATGTTGGTCTTCGATAGAGTTGTCGATACATTCAACGCTCCGCTAAACAGCTAACTCGGCCTCCGAGTCAAGCTCACATTCGTGCTGTCACGCGTATGTTCCATCCGTCAGAGTGAACTGTCCGACACTGGCACTTGCTAACTATATCTCATGGCGTGCAGGTTGTATGCAAATTAGTGTCATCGAGGACGACAGTTGGGTTTCCGCTTTCGACACTCCGTCCAATTGGCCATACCCCCATCTGGCAATTTCTGAAGGTCTGGTCCTCAAATTTGTCAAGATGGAGGTCTCAAGGAGGGGCCCCACCTTGTTCGATATGCCAGAAAATATCAAAAATAGAATCATGGAGTTCGCTGGCCTGCGTCGCTATTGTATTATCGACTTTTCCCTGGAGCAAACTCGCACCAAGCGAGACCCGCCTCTGTGTCCGAAAACTGAATTGCGAGCGCATCGCGGCCCCTGGCTTCCGCTTAGCCGCTGCTACCATCCAAAGCTGCCGACAGAGGTGTTCTTATCGTGTCGCACCTTGCGCCGGGAGGCCGGTGTCTATTTCTTCTCCCAAAACCGCTTCAGCACGTTTCTTCGCGGCCGGGGGGACTTTGTGCTCTTCGAAAGGTCGATGAAATGGGGCTTGGACTATATTCGGTACTTGCATGTGGATCTTGGCCATAAGGACAACCGATCGCTCAAGCTAGCTTCTGGTGCCCATCAATCCTTGTTGAAATACTGGGAGGAGTTCTGCAAGCTCGCGGCAAGGGAGATGCCGAATCTCAGATACTTCAGCCTCAAATGCAAGGCCCGTGAGCAGGAAGTGGTTTTTCGTGTGATGCGTGACATGGATCCGTTTCCTACCCTGTTTAAGTGTGCCTTTCATTTCAGCAGTAGTCAGGATAAGATCTGTAGTTTCCTGCCTGTGATGAAGCGCACGGCGCGCCGCCTGACGGACAATCTTCATGTTCCACCATTTCCGTTCATGTACCTACCTAAGGAACTTCAGCTGATGGCGCTCGAGGAACTGCTCGTCAATCGTTCCGATCCATGCATGACCGATCCTGCTCGGGGCGTTATCGTCTTGGATTACCGCGACCGTCTGCGATTCAAGACTTGCTGTGGCACCTGCTCGCCGGTTGGAGGCATGTGCTTCTGTGATAGCACTGAGACGGTATACTCGACGAGCTGCACCTGCTTCGCGTCGCCCCTGCGCTATTTCCTGGTTAATCGGGAGTTTCATGAGCTCGCCCGTCAGGTCTTCTGGGGTCGCAACAAGTTTCTGTTCGTGGAGGAGGAACCGACCTACACCATGGGCTTCCTGAATGGCATTCCCACGGCGTCAACGCTGCTGGTGCAGAACTTGACGTTTCACTTTCCCCTGTGCTATAGGAGCGCACCGCTGACGGGAACCCGCTCTATGGATTCCAGCCTGCGATACTGGGCAGTTCTGCGCCGTTTCATTCGGGAACACTTTGATCTTGCGCGCCTGAACCTGACGATCATCGACCAGGGCCGGGCCACGGCGATGTACTCGATGGATAACCGCAAGAGATATCTGCGCCGGCTGCTTATGTCGTTTGCCGACTTGAGAGGCGTGCGAGGTTACCGGGTGCATTTACGAGATGACCGCGGGTTCGAGAGACAGGCCGTGATGGCTGTCATGGGGCGATAGTTGCTGATGCTGATGTAGATAGAAACCTGTTGTTTCCTTAGTCTTTTCTTTCTTATGTTGTCCTTTGATGGAACACAAACACTCATCTCCATGGTCGTGATGCTTGATGCAGATAGCGATGTTGATGCACATAGATGCATGTTGTGTTGTTTTTCTTTTTCTTTTCTATCTTTTCTTCTTCTCTTGTCTTTTCTTTGACAGAACACGGAACACTTACCTCTCATGGTTGTTGACTCGGCCTGACGTATGGACCGTCGACTCTGCCTTCATCATGATGATGATTCAAGATCAGCCTGAGCAAGCCTGAGTGTTGACGTGTCTGCCTATCACATATGCATGATATCCAGCATCCAGCGACGTGACCTAGTTAACATCAGCGATTAATTAGCAGAAATAGTATGCAAATAGATAATACTCTCTGTCTCTCATCACACTTGAGTAGTAGACACCAGAAGAAAGGATGCACGTGTAATGAACAGTAAACACCAGAAGACGACGCACCCAACCCATCCTCCAAGCTAGCAAGGTCAGTAGTAAAGTCAGTGAAGAGAAGGAAAGGGATCCCGCCGTGTTGTTCAACTGAAGATATACCTCGCTCACCTAATCGACACAACAAACGGGGGGCATTGCAGATTAACTGCGTGCATACGATGATGCAGGAATGCATCGTATTTTCACCCTCCTTCACCAGTGCTCCAGATACGATCATGCTCATGAACCAGTAGTAGTAGTAGTAGTAGCTTAGTAGGGTTCATTATCACGCAGTGGACCTTCTCGCTCTCTCTCACTGACAAGGATGCTTTTTATAGATATGACTAAGCACAGCACACAGCAAACCCTCCCCACCATGAAGTCACCCACCCCCTCACGAGAGAATATTTTCCCCGCGGGCATCACATAACATACATTATTTACTACTACGTACTACTTTTATTGTATACTCTCCAATTCTACACCTACACATACACATACACACCCAATTCCCCCTCCCCTACATACCCCATACACACACAAAATGCCCCCCTCCATAAACCCCACCTCCTTCGCAACCACCCAACTCACCCTCCTGCAAGCCGAACAAACCGCCGAAATAACAAGCAGTACTCTCTTCACCAGCAGCGCCATCACCACCGCATCCCCATCTACCCGTCGCACGTTACAAGCAACAGGACACGCCCTGACGGGTATTGTCCTCTCGCAGTGTAGAACGGGATTAGGCGGTCGGGTGGTCGGGGAGTTTGTACCTGATGCGGCTGTTACTTCTACTTCTAGTTCCAAGTCTGGGGGAAATGGGAGCAGCGGTGATGGGAAGTTGAGGTTAGGTGCGCATGGGGTTAGGGTTGGGGATGTGGTTAAGGTTGTTGAGATTAGTTCGGGGGGTTCGGGAGGTGGTGGAGGGAAGAAGGGGAAAGAAGGGAAGGAGAAGGATGGAAAGGGGGGTGGAGTAGAGGGGGTTGTTACGAGGGTCGGGGAGAGTGCGGTTTGGGTTGCGTTTGGGGGGAAGGATGGTGGTAAAGGGAAGGATGCTGAGGACGGGGTGGAGGAGTTGTGGGGGAGGAAGGTTTGGATGTGAGTTTTTTTGTTCCAATTCTTCTTTTTGGTTATGTAGGGTTGGTGGTGTTTGATGATATTGACTATGTATAGGATCAAACTTGCCAATGATGTCACGTATAGACGGTATGTCTCTATTTCCGTTATTTCGACAAAGTATGCTGATGTATCTAGTATGAATCAGACCATGGAGAAAATGGTCAAAATGGCCGAGTCCGAACATACGCATTTCATGCGTGTTGCCTTCGGTCATACCTCGCCTATGCTGCCCGACTACGATTCTATAGGGGCTCTAGAGTTTACGGATCCTACGTTGAACGACTCCCAGAAGGAGGCCATTCGGTTTGCCCTGGCAGCACGTGAAATTGCCCTCATTCACGGCCCGCCCGGTACAGGCAAAACGCACACGCTGATCGAGTTGATCGTGCAGATGGTGCAGCGCAAGCAGCGGGTGCTGGTCTGCGGCCCGTCGAACATCTCCGTGGACAACATTGTGGAGAGACTGGCGCCGAAGAAGGTCCCCGTGGTGCGCATCGGACATCCGGCGCGATTGCTACCGTCAGTCCTGGATCATTCACTGGAAGTGCTCACGCACACGTCGGAGGCGGCGGCGATTGTTCGCGACGTCCGCAAGGAGATCGATCAGAAGCAGGCGAGTATCCGGAAGACCCGAGCCGCACGGGAGCGACGGGCCATCTACGATGATCTGCGAGAACTGCGGCGCGAGTTCCGCGAGCGCGAGAACAAATGCGTAGAGAATCTGGTCCGTGAGAGCAGTGTGGTGCTGGCGACGCTGCATGGAGCGGGCGGTCATCAGCTAAAGAACCAAAAGTTCGATGTGGTCATCATCGATGAGGCGAGTCAGGCACTAGAGGCGCAGTGCTGGATCCCGCTGTTGTCGGCATCCAAGGTGGTCCTTGCTGGTGATCATTTGCAGCTGCCGCCGACCGTGAAGTCGACTAAAGAGAATGCGAAAAAAGCGGCCAAAGAGAAGGAGGATAAGAAAGAAAACGGAGAGTTGCTGGAGAATGTGTCGTTGGAGACGACCCTGTTCGATCGACTGCTATCCATGCACGGGCCTGGAATCAAACGGATGCTCACGACGCAGTACCGGATGCACGAAAAGATTATGCAATTTCCGTCGGACGAGTTGTATGACTCGAAATTAATGGCTGCAGACTCTGTCAAGGATCGACTGCTGAAGGACCTACCCTACGAAGTCGAGGAGACCGATGACACCAAGGAGCCGCTGGTGTTCTGGGATACGCAAGGTGGTGACTTCCCCGAAAAGACCGAGGATGCGGATCTGGGCAAGAAAGCCCACCTGGGCGAAAGTAAGAGCAATGACATGGAGGCGCTGGTAGTGAGCAGGCACGTCGATGCTCTGGTGGACGCAGGGATACACCCCGAAGACATTGCGGTGATTACGCCGTACAACGGTCAGCTGGCCGTACTGTCGCAGATGCTGCGGGAGAAATACCCTAGCATTGAGCTGGGCAGCGTCGACGGGTTCCAAGGGCGGGAGAAGGAAGCGGTGGTGGTGAGTCTGGTGCGCAGCAATAGCGAGCACGAAGTGGGATTCTTGGGGGAACGGCGTCGTCTCAACGGTAAGATCCCTGCCAAGTGGCGAGCCTGCATGGACTGACAGCATTAGTGGCCATGACGCGGCCGAAACGGCATCTGTGCATCTGCGGTGATTCGGAGACGATTAGCAAGTGAGTGCCCCTCTATCGTGGTCAGCATTTACTTTGTAGGCAAATAGTTGACGTCGACTTTTTTTCTCCACAGGGGCAGTGGCTTCCTTAAGCGATGGATGGCATTCCTGGAGGAACATGCCGATTTGCGGTATCCGGATGCCGGCGATCTGTTGTGATCACGTTTAATCTAGCTACCGTGTATTTTTGGGACGTTGCTTGGGCCATGAGTGTCACCGATGGGAGGTCCTGCAATCAGATGCAGTGCAGCGTTGTGCAACGTCTGCACCAGACGGTCCCTTGCAGCCGAACAACAAACCGCGAATAGAAAACAAACAGACTCAACCGAGCACAGGCGCAAGGGATAGAATTGAAGGAGGCGATTCAGACACGCGATGAAAGGATTGCCCAGAGAGGACAAAATGACATGGGCGCATTCCCCTGTCACGTCAACCATCCACATTCCATAGCTAGAAATCTAGATTATTATCCATGTGGCTGCTCGATGGAATTCCGAGAGCCCCTCCATTGGAGACGCCAACGAAGAGGGGAAAGGAAGATCGTGCGTCATGGCGTTGTGAAGTATGCAGGATCTAGAATCCCACGAGCGGGACAGTCAGCCTTGCTTCTGTCTACAGCATAGATAGATAGACAGTGATTTGATTTGATTAATGAATGAATGAGGATTGATTGTGCCCGACCGAGGCGAGTGAGAGGGGAGGGCCCGTCAGCGAGCGAACGGTTCCGAGCGTCTGATGGGCCAACTTAATCGGTTCTGGACGGGAGCGGAGGGGGGAGGCCACTTGGTGTGTTTCAGCGCGGAGGATTGCCATCGTGGTCCAATGATGGGAAGGAATCAAGAGGAGTTGAATGAGTCGCGAGGGGATCCAAGCAATGAGTGAGTGGAGGAGGAGGAGGGAGTTGGAAATGGGGCCGAAGGAGTGAGGGAGGAGTAGAGACCGTCAGTGTGTGTGCATGGATGGTGATGAGTTGGCGCGGCAGAGAAGAGAAAAAGTGAAATTAACTCTGCATACTAACTAAGTATTCTGCAGGAGTAGTAGGGAAATACCCGGTTGAAGATGGAATTTACCACTTTTGTGGATGGCATTATACTGGGATGATCCAGCCAGCAAAGTCGAATAAGAATTATTTATGAATGAAGACAAAAAGAATAGTGAATGGTATGAATAATGGTATCTTCCTCAGCCATGAATCATCCATCACCATTAGTTAGTTAATGGTGATAACTAAAAATACTCCCCCTGACACGCGCCGCGAGTGTTTCGAAACTCCGCTTCTCCATCGTCAGAGGCTCCACTTGGAATGGCTTCTCTTTCTCTCGTTCTTCGTCTCTGCCTGCTGGTCTCTGCTGCTGCTGCTGCTGCTTTTCCCCCGGTCTTCTTTTCCACTTCTCTTGCAGCTTCCTTCCATTCCTTCGTCTAATGCCACTTGATTGATTGCTGGTTGGGGTCCAACTCTATACTTCTTTGGTGATTCTTCCGACATTGCCAGGGCGAAGTGTCCATTCCTTCTCTGCCCCTTCTTCACCTCTTCCTCTCTTTCTTTGTCTTCTTCTTCCTCTTCACACTCCCACACACACACACACTCTCTCTCTCTCTTTCTCTCCATCGCCAATCCCGGGATATTCTTCCTAGGTTCTCCTGGTTGGTGTTTGATAAGCTTGACGATTTCCCGTATTCTGCTCCATCCTCGCCGATCCTGCCCGCTCTTCTGAGACTGTTTTCCTGCTGCTCGTGTCGGGGACTAGTGAATTTTGGTCTCCAGTGCCCCCAAACTCTTGGGTTTCCTCCCCCCATTCATGGCTCTGTAGTTCCTCCCCGACTATCTACTCGACTATTATTTACTCCCTGCTATTATTACTCCAACCTATCCCAATCCTCCGGTCCATCCCATCACACCACCTCCTCCTTCTCCTCCCACTTTCTACTTACCCTCTCTCTCTCTCTCTCTCTCCCTCCTGCTGACTCCCTTGGCTTCTTCCTTCCGACACTTTATTTTATTTTCTTCTTCCAGCCTACCGATCATGATCTGAGCCCTTTTGCCAAGGTCAGCTTCCCCCTCTGACATCCTTCAAAAGTGGATTCTTTGCTGATGCTGGTGCCCGCAGCCTCACTCCTTAAGATTTCCCCCTCCCCTCCTCCGCTTTTCAGCTGGTGGCTCTGCGCCTTGGCGTATATCCAATCGTTCCTTGTCCCTGTCTTCGTATCTGTCCTTACCGATCGCTTCGACCTCCTTTCCTCCCTTGCGCCCTTGTATGCCATTGGACAGGTCTGCAGCGTGCATGTTTCATGTGTTGTCGTTCCCTCTAAAGCCCGAATCCCGACATGTCTGCTGCCAGTACAAGTACCACGCGAAGTGACTCCGCCCAGAGTCGCATAGCCGGCCCTCCCACTTCAGACCCTGCAGCTGCAGACGCTTGCTTTGATACTGCATTACCGCCCATGA